TAGTAAGTTGTTCGGTTTGTTAAGCTGAGTTGATATGAACTTGTGGAATGGGTTTTGCGGTAAAATCGACTGTATTCGGTGTCACTTGCTGCTGCTGCTGCCTGCTGGCTTCATCATCATCAGTGATGAAGCGATTTTTATGATTCAGAACTGCCTCGACGGTATGCGGGCCAAGGCGAAGATTATGCTTTGAACCGATCTAAAACACTGAGCGTATATCTAAAGAACATTAACGACGTTGTTGATATTACAGAGAAATTACAGCTATACAAAATTCTGAAGATACACATACACCCAGAACATACCCTTTCGAAAACTGTCGGTTCGTCATATTTTGAAATGAAGAAGAAATTGAGCACAAAGAATGATATTAAAAGAATTATAACTGCAAATAGCAAAGCGACTGCCAGTGGACCAAAATAATCATAGAATTCAAACTCTTGCTTCAAGGAAACCATCTGAAATTGAATTCGTCATCTACTGAATCACTGCGATCACGTCCAAAAACTTCAACTTCAACCAACTCGTTGAAGAGGCTTCGTCAGTTTCGTAACGTAATTAATAGATACATATATATATTGTGCAAAATGCATTGTTATTCGACGAAACGAAGAAATTTTCAGTGAATTCAATTCGAACTGTTGTGCGCATTTGATGGATTTCATTGTACTCGTTGTCGTCGCCATAGAAGCGAAAAGTGTATCTCAGTCGACTNGTCAACCATCCAATTCATCAGCAAAGTCAACTATCATACAAGGAACTTTCACATGTGAAACAAACTCTCGAACGTTTAGCATCGTTTCAACAACGATAACATTATAAACTTTATGTATCCCGCAACGTTAGAATCACGCGTAAATAAAATTTACATTCAATCCGATTGAACATGTGGATTATGCAGCTGAAAATGAAGTAGCAACAGATTGAATGCTAGCATTGGAAAGCAATTAATTTCGTCATCTTGAAGCAAGTAAAGCTGAAAGCATTGGAGCATTTACTCTGCTCTACAATGAAACCGGACTTCAACGTCAAAGTGCATACTACTCTGCTAAGCAGTTTTGTCAAGTCACGGTCGCCAAATAAATTTCTTTCATTAGCTTCACTTACACACATTTTCAAGCCGTACATCCTAGGAGAAAATCCAAGTGCTGTCGTTGTGGATACAAATGGACTTTTTTGTGATAGTTTCAGAATGTAAGCAATTGAGATTCTCATCAATCCACGAGAAGATTGAGAACATGAAAATGAAGGAACTTTCAATCGCTTAATCAAGTGGAAATGATAAAATCGCATCATATCTTCTTCTCAGTCCTTCACTAAGCCATACTATNGTGTGATATTTATCGGGTATAAACACTAATATTAACTGCTCACGGAATAAAATTGCTCGAAGGGCATCCTATAAATATCTCACGAGCAAATAAGCATTTGATCTTCTCATATCAGCTGGCTGATAGATTCGAGTCTAAAACTAGACGCAGAAGAGTCGTGATTCACGATATATCCATAAGACATCCTTCGACTTTGAAGGGACGTTCACACTTTAAAATGAAAAGAATAAGATGCGATGGTGTATATCTATGATAACAGATTATTCCAATCTTTCAAGATTACACAAAACTGTTGAATATTTCTCGGCAAAAAACCACCTAAATGATGATATCAGCTATCAGAAGATCAAACAGAAGACGAAACGCAATAAAATACTGAAAGAATGAATGAACAGATGGATGAATCGATGGATAAAAGACCATCATAACACATACATATGAAATGATCATGATGTGATGAAAAGAACTGCTGTTGAATTGATGATGTGTTTCGATGCTCTTACATTTATTTAAGCGAGCATGAATATTTGTCTGAAAATATGTGTGTACACATGCATATGTGAATGTATAACTAAATGAGATTGTTTTCGCTGATGAGTTCTTAAACATACAAATATCTCGCGGTTTAATTAAGCTTTCCGAGCAATTCAGTCATAATCAGATAACAGTGAGAGTGCTGTTTCGAGATGAAAAACGCTGTTTAGTGTTCCACAACACAGCAATTTGCTGATTGTGAGCTTCTTTCAAAACATATTGGGAATTCGAACAACGCAAAGCACAGAATCTTCATCGATCGCGATATTTTTGCCACCTTAATGGAGATTTTTTCTTTCCTACAATAGGACCGTAAAGTTCCGTCGTCCTTTCAACTGTGATAAAATGGAATCCGAGTATCAATTTGAGGCTGATCTGAAGATGTTTCCATCGAAAATCCTTTTTCAATACATAAGATGACAATTGTAATTTCAACCATCAATTCGTACAATATTACTGAATTCAGTGGTTTTGTTTTGTTGCTTAAAGTGACAAAAATTAGATTTCAACAATAATATACCAAATGAGTTTCAGAGATGGTGTCGAAATGAGAATTTCAGAATCGAATAAACCCTATAAACCCTAAAATTTTGCGTAATTTCCAATTATTGCTCGCGTGGCACCTTTTTTGCAGTGGAATGATA